TTTTCTTACAGCAGTCTTAAAAACAAGTTTAAGCTATTGCATTGTAACTTGATAAACGTCAGCATGTTGTAGAAATGTCCACAATTGAGCTAAATGTAGAGTGAAGGAAAAGATTAAAGATCTTCATAGATCACCTTGTTTGCTGGGAATTATTTTTGCCTTTCCTCTCCTGGTTGCAAACAGAATTATTCAATATTTCAGAAAGATTCTTATCCCTGGATATGCCCTTGGAATCTTGTTTCCACAGCAACACGAAGCTACTGATAGAACATCCCTTTCAAACTTCACATCAGTCTTTTATGTCGAGCTGTAATTAGGATGTTGCCGGTAGCACTGTGTGTTTGTGTGTGTGTGCTGGGAGCAGGCTGTGACCCAGCCCTGAGGTGAATAATGGTGGAGGAGCGGGCAGAAGGTCCCGTGGGGGGGTGACCCTGCAGCGTGGCAGAAGGGGGCACTGAGAATGGGGCAGTTGTTTTTCCATGGTTCTGTGAAGAAGAGCTCTGTGGGATGTGGCCGTGGCCAGGAGCTGGCTCCTCTGCTGCCGGCAGCTGCAGCCTGCGCTCCCTTCTTCCAGCCCCGCTCCCGCATGGAACACGGGAGGAATAGCAATGGGTGGAAGAACATGCAGCAGCCATTGTGGGGAGATGGAGCTGAGCTTTGGCACGCGTCCCGATCTGCCTGCTGAAAAGCTTTCCTTCCTGGAGAAGGAATTAATGGGAGAGGGGCTGCGTGTCAGAGGTCGGTCCGAGCAATTAGCGTGTGCTTTTCTGCACAGATACTGCGGCGCTTTCTGGGCACGGCATCTGGAAGCAGCCCCACCCCGGGCTTCTTTTAAAAAGGAAGTTGGTACTGGAGCAGTAGAAGGATGAAACGCTGCCTTTAAAAGTTGCGTGGCGCACCCTCTGAGGTTATAAATGCTCATTTGTTTGTTTGGTACAGCTGTGTGAGATGTTTTACTTAGTGAAAACTTTGTTATATATTTACAAGATACTTAATGTTAGGAATGATAAACTGTACTGCTAGGGGTTGTGTTGATTTTCACGTGGTGTCTTAAAAGTATCTAAATAACAGTGCTGTTGCAGGTTGTCACCAGATAGTAACCACAGCTTGAAATAGGAATAAAGTTGCGTATACTGGTGTTGGGCAGTTGCAAAATCTATATTTAAATTTATCACATTACAGATAAATAGCACTCACAGCTGAATGGTTGCATCAGCTTGTGAAGCTGTACATCACTGGGGTGGAAATAAATCCTTCCTTCTACTTGAAAGTGTCAGGAACTAGATTAATCATAATGTGAATGACACACAGGCTGCTAGAGGGAGAGTTCTCTGTGCAGTGATTGGTACATGTGGTTAATGATTAGAAACTAAAAGCTATAAATTTGCACTCTAAAAGTTGTTAGTATGTGAACTGTTACTCCCACTTCACAGATTTTTATCTTCTCTGAAAAAAAGTCTAGCTAATAGGAGGTTCTTGCCTTTAGAAGGAGTCCCAGTTAACTGCCTCAGTAAAATTATAAGCAATTGTGAGCTGTAGTGGAAGCTGGAAGTCTAGACAGTGAGGTTAGGCTCTGCACACTGGGGCAGCTCTTCCAGAATGCAAATAATGTAAATTTCGGGCGTGCTGGGTGGTGGTTGGGATGTGTGTGTGGAGCTGTTCCTTTGGGACTGCAGGGGGAGCACAGGTGATTATTAGTCATAAAATTAGATCTCTAATTCTAGCTAAGGCTAAGCAAGATGAATCCTGCATTAAGTGATAAGCTGTTATATTAACTGCAGTGAGTTAGTGCATCAGGGGGTTGGATTTGCACTTTTTATAGTTGTTTCATTTGCAAATACTACAAATGGACATCTTTCTGCAGCAGAGTTCTGGAGAGTAGTGGGTAAATCTGGTGTTGATGGTGGATGGAGATCGTGAGGAATGGGGAAAAGGTGTGGGAAATGGTGCAGTCTGAGCTGTGAAGGACCCCCCGTTGTTGATACGGTGTTTCCTAGGTAGTGAAACAGATGTTGCTAGATGGTTTCATAGGCCAAATAGGTGTCTGATGGTAGAGTATGTATGTGAGAAAACACGACTCATCAGTTCTGCTGAAGTTCAGGTTACTCTGTAGCTTTCACAGTTTCCTATAGCACACGTCAAATTGAAAAAGCACTTTTTTAAAGGGTCACTGAGTTTGCTCAAAGCCATATTTGCTTTGAGGGCTGTGACTCTGAGAACATGAAATAGTGTTAACTTTATAATACAAGTTCTCTGGGTACCTGTATTATGCGTGATATTTAAAATACTATGCATAAGCAAGTGTACCTCACTGCTTGTATGATTAACTTCTTGCTCATATAAATTGAGATAATCTTTCATACATTTAATCAAGTTACAGAAAAACTCATATTTCAGAAATTGTGACAGCAGAAATAAATCCAGTAGCCCTTTTAATATTTCAACTAGGTCGCATTTTGGTTTTGCTCTCCTTAGCTGAGGCTTTGCAGTGGTAACAGCAATGCATGCGTGGCTGCATCAGCGCGGTGAGATCTTCTGATACCAACAGACAAATGAGTGTTTGCAGAATGTACACTGGAGAGGAAATTGATTGCATCTTTACTGCAAATAGTCAGCTTTTTTCCACACTGAATCATGTGCTTCATAGTTGAACCATCTGAATGCAAAATTACCCATCCTTTTTAAAATAACAGCATAACCCTTTTCCTAAGAAAATGCTTCAAGAACTGTAAGGCCAACAGCTACAAGAGAGCAAATCTTAGTATATTTAATGGATGGACTCAAGTTCAGTGAATCTGTACTAGGAAAGATGCATATTTTTCCATCAATAGACAACATTTGCTTGAGAAGCAATAACTTAGAGATTTATCAAATATTGTGAGAGATTAGGAGCTTTTATTTAAGCAGCATCAATTGGTAAATATTGGCATTTTGCCTTTTTCTGCTCTGCATAGCTGCTGCTGTCCAGTACTTGGAAAGGAAGTAAGATTCTGCATTGGGGGAGGAAAAATATGCTAAAGTCAATATAAAGAAGAGGATAGGAGCTTTGTGTATAAAGATAAATAGTCCATAGGTTTCTTTCATTTCTTTCTGAAATACAGGTTGTTCACTCTTCAGAATTATTTCTAGTTTTGTTTTCTGCTTGTGACTTACCTTACTGGTATATTGTAAACACCACAGGTGATTAACTAAGAAAATTCCTGAAGACAAGCCCTCTTGAAGGCTATGCCAAGTTCTGCTTGTGGCACTTAGTTATTATCTGTTTTGGGACTTAGGAACTGCTAATGCAGTATCTATACATATGTAACAGCAGCAGTTGTAATGAATACTTGCTTAGCATGTGGAATTTCAAGCAGCCTGTGGAGCGTTTGAGCTGGGTGTTTGCAGAGGCAAATACATGGTGCAGTGTGTCTGTGGTTACAGACCTGGGCTCTGGATGCTGACAGGTCAAAGCCATTCTGCAGAAAAATCCTGCAAAAAGGCTGTGGCTGTGTATGCACGCGCTGTATGAAGGTCTTGCTACCCGCACAAATTCCATGGCATTTTTAATAATGAAAGTGAGGCGTGTTAAACGCTTGTGCATACGGTGGTAGCAGTACTGTCCCAAAACCACCCTGTTGCACCATTAAGCTGCTTGGTGGTAGAAGGACCTCGACAAGGCCAGGCATTTGAATTTCCTCTAGGTTGCCTTTTCTAACTGGATTTTCATATTTCATTCTGCTTTACCTGATCACCAGATACCTGTCTATTTCAGCAGAGTGAGGCCAATTAAGAGGGTATCAAAGAATGTTCTGGGACTCAATTATAGAAAATTGGTGAAATGTAAAGTCTGTTTGGCTAGTATGTTTATATTTTATATGAAATACTTGAGACTAACAGAAATGGTTACTTTCAAAGCAATGCAGTAATGAGCAAAATAAATTTGAAAGGAACAAGAGCCATTTACTCACACTTAAATTCTAATTTATTAAATTACCATATATTTTTAATATAAAGAAAAGTTATTATAACGGGATGCTTTGTCATTCATACAAGCAAGACCATAGAAAACATCCTAAAATTTGTAAGGATTCATAACATTTTTACTAAATAATAACCTGAGCCCAAATTTTAGAAAACTCTGTATGTCTTACTGAGCCGTTTTACTAGGCTCAGGCTGTGATATTCTTCATAAACGCGTAGGCATTTTGAACAGAAACACTGCTCTATTGGTACAGCAAGGAGTGCTGCTCTGAGCTGAAACCCCATCACTGTAAGAGTAGCACCCAGTGTGTTCATTAACACAGGTCACAGTCACCACATGGCCTCGCTGCTCTGCTGCTCCTGTTGCTTCATCTGTGTCCTCTGATACATTCTTCTTCTTCTTCTTAACCTCTGTTGTCTTTTGAATTGTGCTTGGAAAGGTGTTTTCACAAATTCTCCTTCCCCTTTGTTCTTCAGTGTCTGTTCTTCGTGGAGCTGTGCCGACAGCGTAGCTCGATGGAGTCAAAGGTTGCAGCAGTTGGAATTACTTGCAGGAGTTAGGCATAGGGTGTGGAATTCTGCTGCTTGAAAGATGATTTCTGAAGGCTTTTCTGTGCCCCAAAGTGAATGGGTTAACTGCAGATGAACTTTTTCTCTCAAACTTCTTGATTATAGCATATAGAAAAGACTCAACCTTGTTTGTCCCACGGGCTGATAAAGATGATGAATGCTCCTTTCTTTGTTCAGGTACCACGGGCTGATAAAGATGATGAATGCTCCTTAGAGCCAAGAATGAGCAGGCTCTAAGCCAGCTGGGAACGCTAGTGGCCTGTAGGTACCCAAATAGGCTGGTGATAGAACAACAGTGTTTTGTCCATCAAACTAAAAGATACGTGCCGCTGTTGCCTCTCTTCATTTGATAAAAATAAATGTAAAACAAATGCACTACCCCTATATTCAATTGAATTCATGTTCTTGCTTTCTGACTTGAATTAATTTAATATTCCTTATAACTAATGTTATTGATTCTATTCTAGTTCTGCCTATGATAACGTCAACAAAGTTCGAGTTGCTATAAAGAAAATCAGTCCTTTTGAGCATCAGACATACTGCCAGAGAACTCTGAGAGAGATTAAGATCCTGCTGCGCTTCAGGCATGAGAACATTATTGGAATAAATGATATTATCCGAGCTCCGACTATTGAACAAATGAAAGACGTGTATCCTTTCAAAGTCTGAAGATACTCTGCATAGTTAGTGACGGTTGCTGCCTTCTCTGCTCTGATCATCACCCTCTTCCTTTTTTCCTAGACATTAATAAAGGCTGGATTCTATTATTATAAATTGAAAGTTCATAGTGTTTAATAGGTTTACAGCTAGATAGACCTGATATGTAGATGAACACTAGTTTTGTTTCTTCTTTTTCGAGAAAAAAAAAAAAAAGTTACTATTTTCCAAGGCAAAGAACTCAACGTTGTAGCAATGAGTTAGTTTAGTTACTTAATTCTAAAACTGTATTTGCTCTCAATAGAGCTGTTGTTAGAACTATCAGATTGCTTTGAGGATAAAATAAAATGGCCAAGCACTTCTATAATCATCTAAAATTTTCTTAAAGAATAGAATGGGTACATCTTGGGGGAAGGGGATTAAAATAAAGCAATGACTAAGGTAAGTGCATGCTGCCTGTGAGAGGGTGTCCTGTTGTGTGCTCCAGCCCGATACCCAGAGGAGAGGCTGGAATGGCAATAGTAGTGTGTTTTCACAAAATCCTGCTTCGGTGAAAAGTGATCATGGAACTACACCCCAAGGGTTTTGTAGCCAAATTGAATTAAGGGAGAAGAAAATTTTACTTAACTCATTCCTGCCAAAGCAGAAAAAAATCCCTTTTATGTTCATTCCAGTCTTAGAAAAAAATCATCTGACTGAAAATATTAGGACTGTTCAATGTAGCATAACACAGATATAGTAAAGGAGAGCAACAGCTGCATTTTAGGAGAGGTGTTGGAGAAGACTGATCAGAAATGATCAAAGCCTTCTGCCTTCATGCTTTTATGTAACTGGAGCAAGTATCTCAGAAGCTTATTACTTGTTAAACTGAAAATCAGTCTTTATTTCTTGGCAAGCAGGTTAGGAATCTGATCATATTAGATTCCAATAAAAATCAGGCTCTAAGATAAAGAGATAGGTATATGATTATTAATTTGAGGACCGCGTGCTGGTATATATATGCTGCATCATATAACAGGATTGACTTCATTCAAAACTTGTAAAGCAAAAAGCAGCTTAGTTTCATAATTGTCACGAAACAGACAAACAAGAGAGAAACATTGTTCCAGAAGTTACTCTGGTACTGTTATGTTGGTATCTAACCACACCACCTTTGTTTTGCTGCCTTACATCTCACGCCTGACAGATACATTGTGCAAGATCTTATGGAGACAGATCTTTACAAGCTCTTAAAGACTCAACACCTCAGCAACGACCACATTTGTTACTTCCTTTACCAGATTCTGAGAGGGTTAAAATATATCCATTCAGCCAATGTGCTTCATCGTGACCTCAAACCTTCGAATTTGCTGCTGAACACCACTTGTGATCTCAAGGTTAGTTGAAATTTCTTAATACCTGCTATAACTGTGAGTGTGGTTTTGTTACTGGGGATTAATGTGATTTTTCTCCTGGAAAGATTGCCAAAATGTTATTGGTTTTGATAAAACAATTATTAAGATTTGAGTGGCTAAGAACGTGCTGTTATGCTGTTTTGATGAGCGCATCACTGTTTCCATCTGGAGGCTGACTTTGAAACAGCCTGTTTGAGAGCTGGGTGGCAATACTCATCTGAAGCAGAGTGGTGTTTACCTAGAAAGTAAACTCAAAACCGTGTATATTCCAAGTCTTGGTTTCTCTGTGTTTAAACTGTTAATTGTTCAGTGTTGGAAAAAGACTTCATGTTAGTGAGCAACTACAATAGCACCAGAAATGCAGCACTGATTAGGCGCACAGCAATTGCTTGGAGAGAGAACATTTCTAATTTACATTTCCAGTGACGGGCTCTGTACTAGTTAATATTACAGAAGGATGATGTTAGAGCTGTTATGCCTCTTGGAAAATGTCAGCTCAATGCTTAGTGGCATTCAGTAAAGCAAACCAAGTGTGAAGGATTAGAACAGAAATAGAGAATAAAACAGAAAACATGCCATTCTATAACTTTCTCTTGGTTTTGAGTCTTCAGTTCTGTGTGATCATAGGTATCACACTTCTCTGTATGATACCCTTTCAAAATGAGGAGACCAAGACTTCAAAGTGCTTCTCTCCGAATCAGGAAGAGCTATTTAGCCTGGGTCCCTCTGCTGGAAGATGCTGCTCAAGGAAAAGCAAGAACACGATAGAACTTGATGAAATTGTCCTAGGGAGGGTGAATAGAGAACAGTTGTTCCCTGTCTTTACCTATGACAAGGCAGGGGGCGGGGGGGAATGGAAGGGGCCGGTGGCATGCTCCGGCTGAAAGGACATTGGGAGTTAATTTTTGCAGCGTTAAGCTGCGGAATTTGGTACCACAGGGCACTGTAGGTATTACAGATAATGTGACTTAAAAGAACGCCAACCCCTTTGGTAGAAGAAAAAGCTATTGAATGCTCTGTCTGGTTTTGAGTCCCATGGCAGCAAGTCCCTGGAAGGTGGGAGAGCCGAGCAGGAAGCGGTGTGTTCCCTGTTAGACTGGGTGGGGTGTGTTTGCTGGTGGCCACTGATGGAGCCAGAGGATGGAGCTTACCCTACTCCGCTCTGATGCGGTACAGCTGTGCTTGTTGCATACTCTGTTGACCTAATTACCCTGTGTTTTTTATAGTAGCTCTAGCTTTCTCATTTAAAAAAACCCAACAAACCAAACAAAAATACCCTCTTCAAAATGTAAACCAGTTGCTGGCCGTACAAGTTTGTTGCAATTCCAAGATGTGTCCTTGCTGTTCATATGCTGATCCATTCTGAATGCTGGCCCCATGGTCAGTTTGCTTTACATTCCCACTGCTGCTTGTCAGCCTTTCCTAAAGCCTGGTCCTGCTGCATTGGCCATTCTGGGTGTTGCCATGGGATTGCAGCAGCTGTTACAGCAGAGCCCTTCGAGGGATTAACCTCTTCATGAAAGGAATGGAGAGAAATCTATGACAACTGTGCCATAGAAGCAGGAAAGAACAGTTTGAGTGTGGCGCTGTGTTAAGTGCAATTAAAGGCAGTAAAATAATAAAAGGCAATGTTTTAACACAAGATGGTAATGAAAGAGTAAGTAAACTCACTGTATGGCAAAATAATACAATATGACCATAGTGAGTACTTTTCCAATTTCTTTATAGGATTTTAAAACCAGCATGTCACTGCAATATGTGCTTCCTCGTGCAGAATGGGGGAGTCTGTGTGACACAGCATGTGCTGTCTCAAACCTAAAGGGAACTCTGGTGGTGTGTTCATGCTGCATCTAAAGTTTAAGTAACAGAACTGGAGAGAAAGCTGGTACATGCTTAGGCCTTGGCTGATGAGCACTGAACTTGTACTAACTTGTTTCTTTTAGGGCTGTTGTGCCTGTCTGTACATCAGCTGTGTACATGCTTACAGTGTTGGTTACTGTACTTAAAACACAGCATGCTGTTAAAGCAAACAACTCAAAATCACGCTTTCAGAAGCAAGTTTGTTCATCTTGAGTGGTAATGCTCTTAGCTTCTTTCTTCAATGGTGTTTTGAGAGAGCTGCTCACCTCTTCTGGAGCTCCAAGTCCTACAGGTTGTAACAAGAGCTGCTTCTTTCTTCTCCTTTGAAAGTGATCTTGACTTCTGGGTCATAGATTCCATTTGTAGGAAAGACATGGGTGAGTCTCTGTTGACACAGGTTGTCTGAGATCCCTATTGCTTGTCCTAAGCAGCTGAAAGGCTCAGGGCAGATGTGTGGAACCTAAAGCTGTTTCTCCTTCTTTAGGCCATGCTACAGATTTAAGTGAGACCTTAAATATAACTTACCACATAGGGAATGAAAGTTTGTGAAAGTACATAATTAAACTTAACTACTGTCTCTTGATATATTTTTTCAGTGAAAGATTAGATTTGAGAGTCTGTGAAAACTACTGCCTTGAAATCTCTATCCAGTGAGAGTCCTGGGTGATACAGATGCTGGTTGTCTCTTCTGCAGGCTGGCATCTTTCCCACAAGAGAGATTAATGTATACTGACATGCTACAGGCTGGAATATATGCAAAAATACTAGCTAACATTTTTAGAAATATTTTTCACATGCTTTCATGATTATCTGCATCCAACAGTTTGACCTGGTTTACAGTTTTGTAAATTAAATGTTACATAAAAACTATCATGACCATATCATTTTCCTGGGCCAGTGGCATTAATATTTCAGAAAATGAGGTCAAAGTTATTTTAAACAGATTCTCAACTGGTGTGTTGCAGTGTCTTCAGTGCAGCAGCTTACTCTGGCACAACCTGCTGCTTTACTTGGTTAAAACATTAACACACCACATCAATATTATTTATAAATTGTGCTTTTCTATCTACATAGAGAACACTCCCAAGTATTAAACATCCAAGAACTGTTAGATACTTTGGAAGGAAGGTGATGAAAGAGGGGTTTTTTGAGGAAGACTGCAAGTTATTGTTTATTTCAGGATTTTACTGATTACTCTCAAGATGCAACTGTGTGAATTTATAACAGCTAAACTTAATGGAAACCTCTTTTTCCTTCTATACAGATATGTACGTTACACACGCACAGACTACATGATGCAACTTCAGATATTTCAGTGTATTAGTAGTATTTAATTTGCTTAGTAAATGGTCATATGTACATGATCCTCATAAATCTTCCCATCTGCTTCATCCAATTTTAAGGCATCTCTGTTAAAAAAAAACAAAACGCAAAGCATACCTGATACTGACTACAAGAATGTTGCTTTGAACAAGTGGAAGCTAAATATATATAGAGGATGCTGGCATTTTATTTATTTATTTAGTGGGAAATGTATTTATTTAGTGCTACTTCTCTCTCAGTAGTATCTATTCTGTCTCTGCAAGGCATGAAGCGTTGACTGACACACCTGGGTCTTTCATTATGCAGGTTTTTATTCTCTGCTATGACTTAGTCAAAATGCCAAGAAAATTTTGCCTGTCATTATGTTGCGCTCTCAGATTCTTTCTTCTTTTGTTCTAATTCAGATTTAATTAAGATTGAGAAGCCAACCTTCTGCTGCTGCTTTGACTTTTACCAATTATTTGAACAGGCACAGTGGACTCACAATTTTACTTTTCCCCAAATAGGGCCGGACCGAGCAGGACCCTGCCCTCTCCTCCTTCCCCTGCTGCCCCACTGCTGACAGCCCCTAGAGCCTCCTCCTTGCAGCTAAACCTTGGTGCCTTTCTCTTCTGTTCTGCTTTACCTGTTTCTGCTCTTCTCGGCAGGAGCTTTTTGTCATTTTAATCAGCTCTCTTTGCCATTAATCTTCCTTTCCATCCCAGGTACATTTTTCTACTTGAGAGATTCACAGACACTTTCTTTAATTCTGTTCTTTCTCCTCACTGGACCAGAGTGTGTCTTTTTTCTTTTGTCTTAATAACAAATTATAGCACTTTGCTTATGTGTAGTACTATAATTCTGCACAAGTTTTGTCTGCCTGCATAATTATTTTCTGAAGTCCATAAAGGTGTCCTCTACAGTTTCTTCACCTCTGTCTTTACAGGAGACTCTTCTGGTTATTTGTGCTGATTCTGTGTAAGCTGCTAGTGGCACAGGAGGCAGCTGTCCCTTGCCACCTCCAGCAGAGAAGGTGTTAAGCCCAGAATGGAACATAAATTGTGCACCAGAAACATCTTTTCTTCCCAAACCATTTATTCTTCCTGTTCCTGGCATGGCCTAATTGGATACTTTTTGTACTTAATCCAAAATGCTTTTCTTAACCTTTGTGCAATAATTTGTTTCTATAAATATAGGTTCCCATGCTGTGTTTGTAGGTGTTACATCATGGGCTAGAGAACGGTGAAATAGTAATGTTGTAGTATTGGAAGCTGTATTGTCTCATGCTTTTTTTTTTTTTTTTTTAAATTTCTTTAAAACCAGATTTGTGACTTTGGACTGGCTCGCGTTGCAGATCCCGATCATGATCACACAGGATTCTTGACAGAATACGTGGCCACACGCTGGTACAGGGCTCCTGAAATCATGCTGAATTCTAAGGTGAGAGCCTCGCTGTGCTGTGTGCTGCGGCTGCTGCTGGTTGTTCACTGTCAGCACCAGGTCTCCTTCCTCTGCCCTCGGTGGCTTTAGGATCCCAACAGACGCAGGGTCCTGAGGAAAAGTGGTAAAGGGTTTGCAGTGCAGCTACTCGCCCGCAGTAGGTTTGTGATTCCAGAGGCAACTTCTGGATACAACACTGAGTGATGGTGTGTGTGAGCTCCCGTGTGTCCAGAGGTAAACTTGTCCCTGTGGCACCCCGGCACCAATGTAACGTGTACTTCCCAATAAAAGCCTTTCTTATGGGTAGTGCAGGTTATCCAGACACAAAATACAGACATTAGTTCCATTCTTATATTCCGTTTAGGGCTGTAAACACATTTTGCCAGTTCCTTACCTGCTGTGTTTTACAAACCAGCGAACCAAGTCTGGTTTGCCCTTTCGCCCCCGATGCCGAAGGCTCTGTCCTGGTGTGGGGTCTGGGTCCTGTTAGGAAGAAGGATGAGTTTGTTCACATGTGTTCAGTGTACTGTTGGGAGCTGTAGAATTAAGAAGAATAGCTTGTTTCCAAATTTTGTTAGTGTAAATTTGCTGTAAAATGAGGGAGTCTCAAAAATTTGCAGTTGGCGATATGTTTAGCTAAACATAGAGAATCCCTTTGGAAAAGCGTATCTTGTGTACTTCAGTTCTCGCTACCCCTTCAAAGCAGTGTTTTGACACACAATTCTTAATTATTTCATTCTGTACAGAAAAATCAAGCAGCATGAACCAGCATGACTCATCTGAAAAAGATTTATTTGCGTGCACTTTCAGAATTCACTAAAGTAACATGTTGCTGCAATTATGCAAAAATTCCTTTGACAGAGATGTGTTTTTGCGTTCCTGGCAGGGTTACACCAAGTCTATTGACATCTGGTCGGTGGGCTGCATTCTGGCAGAGATGCTCTCCAACAGACCCATCTTCCCAGGAAAACACTACCTTGACCAACTGAACCACATCCTTGGTGAGCTTTGTGTAACAGTAGCATTTCCACAGCCCCCTCTCTTTCTCCATCCTCTCTACTGGTTAAACTGGTCCTGGGCACTCACTGCTTCCTGATGGTCAGTGTGTAACATCTGGATCCGTAGGTGTGTTGTCTCCTCCCCGTAGTTATTTCTGCAGTGATTTCTACAACAAATCATTGATCTGGGGGGCTTCTTACCAGTTTATTTACTACATCAGCAGAGATGTTTTTAAAATTAACATTTTTTTTAAAAAGCTCAAAAACACTATTAAGTCCAGGTAATTTCTTTTTAATGTCCATAGATACACCACTTAATTGGATCTTTTAAACAGATTACTGATCATTAGAAAACGCAAATGCGTTTGTTTATTTACAAGAAACAATAACTTAAACCTTCTTGGTAAAGGTTTCTAAAAAAATTCCAAGGTATTCTGTACTCTTAAAACATTTAGTCTGAAATTTTCTTCTCAGCAGCTTTAATACTGAGTTTTGGCAAATGAGGTATAACCATTTTAATGTGCTTTTCATAGAATGCAGTACTGTTTGTATTCATTTTTTTAGGTATTCTCGGATCCCCTTCCCAAGAAGATTTGAATTGTATAATCAATTTAAAGGCCAGAAACTACTTGCTTTCCCTACCACACAAAAACAAGGTACCATGGAACAGGCTGTTTCCGAACGCTGATCCCAAAGGTATTTCATGCTCTACTACATTGTACCAGATCTTCAGAAATGGAAATGTGCAGCAAAAGTAATGGCAGGATGGGATTTTTAAAACCACCCTAAGAATTTATCTGTATTGGAAATGGAACATGCAGCTCCCTAAAACAGCAGCCTGAAACGCACATACTGGGTTATCTTTTTAAAGCAATATTTAGTAACTCTAAGATGACATGCTGTGATGCTTGATCTTTTAACTTTTGTGTAAAACATAAATCCTGACTCTTGCTACTGTCTTTGGAAACGCCATAAGTTACTCAAGTTCTGAACACGGGCCTTGGATTGTGAGGTTGAGCTGTGTTTCTGCAGTGAGGCACAGCTCAGCGCTGGGCTCAACAGAGCCTGGAGCAAAGAGGAGAGTATCAGTGAAAGCTTGGGTCCTTCCACAGAGTGAAGGGTTAAAATTGTATGGGTTAAAAATGCAGTTAGGAGAAGCAAGGAGTGTAATAATTGTTGCCTTTCCTAAGGCTTTAGGAAAGGGTAACTATGGTTTTGTTTTCCCAGATAGCTTTTAAGTTGCCTTTTTTATATTCTACAGTTGAGGGTGGTTCTATTCACAGTACGGTGCTCTTTCCCCTACTCTGAACAACTCATAAGTCACTTTTCTTTACAACTGATACGATAATTTACTCCTAGTCAATATGGTCAGCTACTGATGGGCCGTGGAAAAGCTCATTTCTGCAGGTGGAAGCAGAGCTGATTATCCTTATCATTCAGAGGAACAGCAGTGATTTATTCTGCTTTTATTATTGTGCTCGTCAACGTGAGAATTGTTACCGTGGGCTCTGACAGCTGGAATTGTGTCGGTGCTGCCGGGGAACAGGCGTGCGCTCGGCTCCCGCGGCACCTTTCCCTCGCACTGCTCAGAGCAGCTCTGACAGAGCACGTCTCCAAACCCCTCTGTGTCAGTCATGCCAGTCAACAGCCTTGTGCACGACACGCTGTAGCGTGGAGCAAGCATGTGAGTCCCTGCTGTTGAGAAAACCACGTAGAAATATTTGATGTTGGTCACTGTGCAAGTTTGCAGCATTTTGAAGCTGCCGTTGAACGCAGTGGTAAAGCTCTGTGGTGCTTGGGATGCATCTTGTCCCAACACAACGCTGCATCTCCTCTGCTGCAGTAAGAAGACTCTACTGAAGTTCTGTGTCATGAGTGATGTGGTGAGGAGAGGAAAGGGAATGGAGTTTAGGATGCTGCAGGTATCTTTGGGCTTCTTCATTCTAAAACCATTCTGGTTTCTCTTCTTGGAGAAGGAAAATGTGTTATCATCAAAGTAGCTGAACAATTACAGTTTGTCCAGAGTTTCATTGGCCCTCACTCTCTGTCTTAGGGATCTTCAGGTTCTCTACGGATTCTTTACGAGTTGGCTTCAACGGGTTTTTACCTGAATCTCATAAATATGCAGCTATTTCCATCGTAGCAGGAGAGTATCTTCTGGGTGGCTGGTTGTGCTGGAATGGTTCACTGTGGTGATCTAGAACTCACGGCGACGTCTGGATGGCGTCTTTGTCATTAAACAGCCAAGTTCTCTTTTCAGAATAAGGACACATTCTCGATTACTTGTTCAGAGAAGCTCTGTCTTGGTTGGGATTTTGGGCACATAAATCCAAAGCATCTATTTGAGTGCAGAAAATGCCTGATCTATTCGGTTTCTGCTGTAGTTAACACCAGATTGTACCCCAGGATTCTACGTGTCCCTTCCCTCGGTGTTCTCTGGTGCCCAGGAGCCTTTGGGAGGGTCCCCTCCCTCCGAGCTGAGCCCAGGGCCGTGAGAGGGGCAGGCAGAGCCGCGCCGTTGGTCCCGGGCAGCCTTCTGTGTGGGGCTGCACTGGGGAGCCCAGCTGGAAATGGAAATTGGCCCAAAAGTTAGGGTAGCGTGTATTTTTCCCTGTAATATCAGTGATTATAACACTACTGTAATTTGGAGTGTGGATTAAACTCTTGTTCACTTTTTTTTCCCCTCCTAGCACTTGATTTGTTGGATAAAATGTTGACCTTTAATCCCCATAAGCGGATTGAAGTGGAGCAAGCTTTAGCCCATCCCTATCTGGAGCAGTATTACGATCCAAGTGATGAGGTAAGGACACTGTTAAAATGTAAACGTCAATTAAATGATGCAACAGTTTATTTTCTTCATTAGTTTAACAACAGTGTTTCTGCTGCTCTAATGGAGTTGAAGAATGAATTGCATGAATTTAGCAAATGTGTATTTCTGGTTCTAGTACCACAATTTGGAGGCAGAACACAATAGATAGATACTGAAGCGTTCTCTCCTGGAAAAGGAACTTCTCAGCCCGTTATGGTCTTGTTTCCTAATGTCTGAGATGAGAAGCAGAATAATGGAGTTTGCCATCGGATGGTGCACGTACAGCCCCCTCCAGCTGTAGTTTCATAGACAGTTCTGATGAGATTTCAGGTCACTTCTGGTGAAGAATTAGGGGAGGAGGAAATAAGCTGGTTATACTTAAGGGACAGACGTGGTTATTCCAAGAAATACAAATGTTTTGGATAATTTTTCTTCAGGTAGATACTTAGTTATGAGCCTTGAACAGATACTTTACCTCGTGGTTTATATTTGAGTAGCTACTTATTATGGTTTGATGTTAAATTTGGTAAACTAATATATAAAGCACAAAAAGGACTAATAGAATGAGTTCTTCCTTAAAGAATGCACGTTATTAGACATTTTTGTGAAGCACATTTTCAGTTTATTTTTCCCCATACAGGGACTACATGAAATTCAATAGAACAGTAATATTAACAAAAGTTAATAATGTTTCTTTCTATTCTTAAGCCTGTAGCTGAAGCACCCTTCAAGTTTGATATGGAGTTGGATGACTTGCCGAAGGAGAAGCTGAAAGAACTGATTTTTGAGGAAACCGCTAGATTCCAGCCCGGATATCGATCTTAAATTGTGCATAGGTAAAGGCACGGCAGGGCCAGCCCCTGGGGCAGAGCTTGGGGACTGTGTTACCACGAGTGAGATGTACAACTTGCCTCTTCTAGTGACAGGATCACGAGCTGTTAAAGGGCAGCTTTATGCTTTTGCATTTGGCATCAGTCCTAATCTTTTTTTTTTTTCCCTTATCTTTTAAAGATTTTACATTTTAATTTAAAATGTAATGCACTGATACTCAGTCTGACTTTTTCTTTTTTTTTTACATAATCAACGAACTTAACTGGAGTGAGGCTTGGCACGAGTCTGCCATGAGGCATGCAAGCCTCAGTAGTTTCATACAAAATTGGTCAAATACTCAATTGAATACTTTTTGTAACACTTAAAATCATAGAATCATAGAATGGTTTGGGTGGGAGGGGACCTTAAAGCCCCCCCAGTGCCACCCCCTGCCCTGGGCAGGGACACCTCCCACCACACCAGGTTGCTCCAAGCCCCCTCCAACCTGCCCTTGAACCCCTCCAGGGATGGGGCAGCCACGGCTTCTCTGGGCAACCAGGGCCAGGCTCTCACCACCCTCACAGTGAAGCATTTCTTCCTGAGCTCTAGTCTTGTGAAACTTCTGCAATACTGATAAAGTGTCAAAGCTTTGTGCCTGGAAAAGAGAAACCAACCAAAGCAGGCAGCCTGATCTAATTGTTTGTTTTATGACCTTGTAAGTAGTTTCTGTGCCGTTATCCAGCAGCAGCAGTGTTCTACAGTCACTGTTTTTTGTTGGTGGTTCTAGCAGCAAGGTTAAGTTTTGAGCCAGTGAATGTCCTTACTGCAAGAAATCCATAAAAGAAAGGAAAAAAAAAAAAAGTAGGGGAAACTTTTGAAAATACAGTTTTTACTTAAATACAGTAGCTTTTGTTGCCACTGGCTTGAGTATTGAAATGTACAGGAGTTCACAAATGAAGTAATTTTGATCTTTAGAAATCCTGTGTTGTGTTTATTTAAGCTCCTAGCTAGCATTTGTTGTACTAATGACAGTAGGTAAATCTGAGGTGACACACCTGGCACTGCAGCAGCGTTGGGCACAGGCAGTGCTTGTTTCCTGCCCCCGTCCTCCAAGGCTCATTCCGTACCAGGGCACCCGTGGTACCTGTCCCCATCTGGAAGGAAACCACACAGGTTTTTAGGATTAAGGTGAAACCTGTTGCCCATGGGCTGTGGGACCCAGGAGGGAGAGCAAGTAGCAGCACTGCGGTTAATGGTAGCTCATGGTCTGTGCCGCTTGCCCCTTTGCCAGCCCGTGCCCACCTCGGGTCTAGTGGGGATTAGGGGATAAAGGGATTAGGGATAAAGATATCACTGATCCGCTGCCAACGGAAATTTCTCGTTTGCTAAAAATGTTACCTTTAAATGCTACTGGGAAGAGTTGATTGGCTGATGTGATACTGAAATTTAAATACTGTACTGAGCTTGGTAATGATGTCCTGGTTGTTTGTGGTTAGAATTATTAGCTATTCCGTGTCACAGCAGTTAAAACAGAAGTAGGTGACATCCTGGTGAAGGCCAGTCCCCAGGAGTTGGATTAAAATGGGCAGTAACGGTCTTTTTCTGTGATTTCTGCTCCTCTACGCCCCCCTGTACTGTGTCAGCCAGCTCGTCTCAGTCTGTGTTTCTTGAGGTTCAAACCTTCCCCCTTGGCTGTAGGTTTTGGAATTGAGAAGCAATGTGAAAATAACAGATTCTTCGGATAACCAAATACTGTACTTCATTCATTAGTTATGATTAATCTTTCTAATCTTTTGAAGATTTCAAATTTTAATTGAAAATGTAACGTTCACTGTCTCTGGCCTCTTTACCGTGTATCAGTGCTGCTGTCTGTGGTAAACATAGTGTACGTAAAGCACAGAAACAAGAAATATGTGTGTTTTAAAGGGGGATGTTCAAGCTTTCCTCACTGAAATCTGTCTCTGCTCTTTTTTGTAGGACAAGGACTAAAAGGACTGGGCGTGCTCAAACGTTGCTGTTCCTCTTCCCAGTCCTTTACGGTTGGTCATGTCTCGTGGCCTCTCTCAGCTTATCCACTAACTCCTTTGAGCCATTCAGGAGGGCAGTTCCTGGTAGTTTTGGCTTTTCATGCTTTCAATGAATCTTTTAAGCCTGAAGAATTGTAATTGACACTCCTATGCGTAATGCCCGTTGTTGACCTGTTGCAGTACTGTACTGTACGTGCACCTACTGCTGCCGTATTTTAACTGCTTGCTTTCTGGTTTGAAAGATGCAGTGGTTCCTTTCACTCCTGGATCAATATCCACGAAGATAATTCATTAACCTGTAAGAAGTTTACACCATGAACTATGTTTTTCTGACTTTACTGAAGTCGCTGGCATTTTTCTTTTTTTTTTTTTAGAAAAGCTACTATTCAGGGCACTTTAAGTCAGTGACATCCCAGATTTTTTTTGCACTTCCTTTCTAAAGAGAAATGTTTAGCAGCCAGCGGAGTGTACCCCGTCACGCTGTGGATCGCAGCATAAGTCCTGCTCACGTTAATCCTGCTTATGCTCTTGTTTGGGTGTCCTGAGCTGTACGTGCAGGTATTCTATACAGCCTGAGAGCCACATGGGAACCCAACTTAATTGAGTTCATCCAAGAACCATTTTTTTCCATGTATTGACACGGTTTGTACCCTTTCTCCCTGCCGTTTCTAAAGGCGATGGTTTAAGGCTTACCCGTGTTGGAGGCAGAACTTCCCAAGCTCCTTCCAGGTAGTAGCGTTGGTAGGACTTGTGCAGAGAGCGTGGGTGGCAGCTCGCCAGCTGGTGGTTACTCACCGTCTGGTGGAAGATTAACAAAGAACATCGTGGCCTGATGACCTCATGGCGAATGCTTTTCTCTGTGGAAGGCATCCATATGTGGTGGCAAGCGAGAAACCAAAATAGGATGTTTCACTGCGCACCAGTGAAATGCTCCGAGTGAGGACCGATAGTTTTCCTATTCGAATCTAATCCCTGTCGTTCAGAATCCTTGCAGAGAGGAACACTGCATCTTTAAATGAGAAAGTTTGATTTTACTTTTGCTCCTACAGCATGTCGGCATCTCAAGTTCATTTCTTGCAACCTACACTATGGTGATTTGTAACCAAGCCTCCATGAGCTCGTGACATGAAGTACTGTTCTGGTGTCAAGTACTATCAAACTTTTCTGATAATGCTGAGTTAGGACAACCAAACAAAGCTAGCACTAAATAATGGTTAAAATTGTATACCTTTTAATGATCTTTTCAAGTATTTGTTACTGAAATTGTATAATGTGGAGTTTACTAGGTGTTCTGTTCCAGTGCAGTGCCTCCTTTTCTTTCCCCACTGCTCTCTGTGGTGAGAAATTTGCCTTGTTTAAAATAATTACTGTGCCCTCGCATGACTGTTAAAGCTTTCTGTGCAAAGATGATTGTCTAAGTGCCACATGCCTATGATTGAGAAAAAAAAATAATCTATTGTTACCTCTGAGTTGTGTTCAACTGAAATGCTATTCAACAAATAACTTAGGAAAAATAGTTCTATTTTTAGCTTTTCATATCTCTGCTGTCTTTTTCTCATTTTATTTTGGCAGCAGTGAAGAATGGATTGTATAAAGACTGCTTGCTAATATGAACAAAATGCACTTGTAATTCCTGGAAATAAATTTAAATCTTATATCTTCACATTAACATTAAGAATTAGTTTTTGGTTTCCTCTTGGGTAACGTGTTGGATGGAGATGAGGCTCAGTCGCTGCTGGTTGTAGCTCCAGGCTTCCTGTTCCCGTCAGGCTGCTCCTCAGAAACCCAGAAAGCCATTCACTTAGACCTCTCTGGACAAGGGTGCTTACGAGATGCCATTTCAGAACTTTCTTTTTCCTGTAGTTAAAGTGTTAGTCTGCCAAAACGAATTTTGAACAAGCAAGGGTTCCTCATTAAAGGGCATTTTCCATTGGGAAGTTCCTGTGGTACCTAAGTCTGTTGGGAACCCAGCAGGAGCGTTGTCAGGACTCTGCGCAGGCCGTCGGGGGGTCGGGGAAGGAGCCTGTGCTAAAAACACATCTACAGAAATATGCACTTGACTGTTGATACCCGTGTGGAAACGTCTCCTGGCGTTTCTGCACATCTTTACCAAAACCCTTCTCTCTCTCAGATTTGAGAAGTGGAAATATTTCTAGAGTCTCTGCTGCTTGTACCATCATCATTACTGCAGGAACCATTGGGGCACGGGTGGAAAGACGACTGTTACTGAAATCAGTTTGTGACACCTCCCTTCTAATTTATTAAGGAAGAAGTTTGGCAGCTTTCTTCACCCTTCTCTTTCCCAGTTCTTTTTTTAACGCTTTCTTTAATTTTGGATTTTTGGGGAGGTGCAGACTCCCCCCTGCGTTGTCTCCGCGTGAGAGGCCGAGGGTTTGCTTTCCCTGACCCCTGGTGCTTTGGGGCTCTGTCCCGCGGCCGCTCCCGCAGCGCCAGCCCCGCAGCCCCACCGGGTCACGGGCACTGTGGGGCTGAGCTTGTTGATGCATTAAATGCAGAAGCATGATTTATTTTTTTTGACAGATTTTGAAAATAGTTTAAAAGAAGGTGCCTATAACAACACTGTGTTAGGTCAGTTATTTCATCATTTTGCATTGATTTTTTTTTTTCGTTTCTTTTCTTTATGTAGTTTTTATATTTTAGAGCGGAGAACAGCAACTCTTAATGGAAGTAACACGCATGTTTCATGGTAAAGATGCTTTGGGAGTAAGGAATGTAAACAGTTCACTGTCAGAAACATTCCAACCTTACAGCTGAAGAAAAATATGCAAAGGCAGAGCTCTCGTGGATGCTTTGGCAAAGGAGCATCCGGCTCCCCCGTCCCGGCCGTGGCAGCTCCTCCTGGCTCCCCCCCTCTCACCGGGGGCTGCCGTGCCCACACGGAACCCGGGTCCAACGGGGTTTTCCGTGCGGGATGGGAAAGAGAAAACCCTGCTGTTGCTGCCCACTGTAATCTGCTACGGTGTATTTATACCATGTCGGAGTTGTTTGCTGAGCAACTGTACTATAGATTTAAACTTTATTAATATATATTTGCTTCTGTTAGTGTAGTTTATATAGTCCTTGGTTATTGATAAATTTATTGTGTTGTTACAGCACAGTGATATGGTATAAATATAGGTCTGTACGTACCCACAGTATACTCATGGATTTGGTCCCTTGCATAGTACTTTTATATTTGTACAGCAATGTCTTCAAGCAATCCCAGATTTTAGGGGAAATATTTTTGTAAATGCAGTGGTTTAAACAAAAATGTCCAAACAATCCTTTTACTAAGTTTTAAATACATTTGTGGTTCAAAATGGTTTAGTTAACAATTGAAATCAAGACACTAAATTAGTGAAAAGTGCACATTAGTAAAGTGAAGCTTACAATGGATTTGGCAGCACGTGCTGTGATCGGAGGCAGCGGAAGAGTCGGAGACCTTGGTGAATCGAGAACAAATCTCTGAAGGTTGGAGCTGGTTTACTTACTATTGTTGCCTTTTCTGGTGTTGTATCAGTGTAGAGCACTCTGGAACTACTCAAACCGCTTCGTCTTTGCTTTGTACTGTTGGTGCCTTCTTAGTCATGTACCCACAAGTCCTGCATAGCTCATTTAGTTAATGGTAAGTTTAAAATAAAACAGCAAAGGAAGATTTTATAAAAAAAAAATAAATCATTTTCTGTATGTTCTTATTCATTGTAACAATTAAACGTTTATATTGTGACAGATTTGTGATTTGGTTAATCTGTATAGATCAATTGTAAGTAGCAAAGGTTTATATTTCGTCTTATTCTTTTGATGTTGTAAACGTATGTGGTTTTCTTTTTTAAATCAGGTAACTTAATGTTCTGTTTTGTTTTTGGCATCTGAATCTTGTAAAAACAAATGCAAAGAAAATCATTAAATTGTGTCCCTGTATTACCAAATCAGCATAGTACTGTGCATGTATAGACTGAGGGGGTCGGGCCGTTCCACCCGCCCTGAGGAGAGGGATGTGTCTGTCACCCCGGGCTGCACTGGGGTTACACCGGTGTGACACGGAATTGGGGAGGCCGTGCAAAAAACCACAGGTGAAGTTTTGTTACAGACGGGCAGAAACGTTTCATCTTTGGTGCAAGGAAGTTACGAAGCCATCGGTGTGTGGAGCGGTCGGGCACAGAGTCGTGCAGAGAGATTCCAGCGCGTCTGGTGAGTCACGGGCTTCTGACACTTGATGTTGCTGTTCGTGCAGCTGTCGCCCTGTCCCCTCAAAGCTTGACAATAATTCCTTGAGCAATCCTTAGAGACCACGTGTCTTCATTTTACTACAGAAAGGTTGTTCTCAGGCCAAGGGTTTGGAGCGTGTGATTTCTGGGAGCAGTGCAGGTAAGCTCTTGTCACTGGAACGGGCTTGGAGTCATTTTTAGCCTAAAATCAGTCTGTGCCAGACTCTTGCAAGGTGTAGTTGGATAATGGCTGCCAGAAACTTCTCTAATTAATATGAAAACATAGAAAATGTAACCTGAAAGTCGAGTGAGCTTAGCTGTAACTGACGGGTCTGCAGTGGTTGTAACCTGAAAGTCGAGTGAGCTTAGCTGTGACTGACACGTTTGCAGTGGCTCTGAGAACTGGCTTGTTAGAGCTCACCTCTCCATCCCCCGGTGGCTTTCACACAGATGATGCCGTGTTCTCCCCAGAGTGTGAGGGAGTGTGGGTTTTGCTGTAGCTGGGTTTGTGTGTGTTCTGTTCCTCGTTGGCTGTGGCTGCCCCTTGCTCTGCTCCCTGCGGCAGAGCGCAGTGTCACAGCAGAGTGTACCCCCCCGCGGGGCTGTGACAAGGCTCTGATGGGGTTACACGCGCTCATAATCCTCGTTTAAGTTGTGGGAACTTGAAACATCTTGCCTATTTCCTGTGTTGCACTGGGATTGGACCCTGACCCTCTCCATCTGTAAGCCCCAGGTGTAAGGGGCACTTTCAGCTGGATGGAGGGCTCTGGCCTTGCCCTGGGTGTGTTGGGCTGGTTGGGTGGGAGCTCTGGGAGCTGCCTGCGCCGGGGAGACGGAGCCCTCGGATCCTCAGGGGGCTCACGAGGACACGCTTTGAGTGTGGGCCGTGTTTAAATGAGATGCTGCTGTAGTTGTGTGGCACCAAACTTTGCAGAGCTCTGAGCCCAGGGCTTTCTCTGCAGACCAAAAATGCCAGCTTCTGTGTTGTATTTTCAGTTACTATTTCTATGAAATTGCATACACAGAACACTTGACAACATTTAAGGTGTGTAGAAGACTTAGAAACATCATCACATCAATATTGGTGTCTGCAGGTGGGTATTTTGCCCTTATGTCTCTCTTCACCACCCGTGAAGCTCCTCAGGCAGCTTTGGTGAGAGCAGAACATGCGGGTGCTCTGCTGGGGGCTGGAGGCTTCACCCCGTCAGAAACGTGTCCCCACCACGAGTGGGTGTGTGAGGGCTGATCTTGAAGTCAGGTACGGGAATTGTGCTGCAACCCCTCTGTGTTACTCACTGACCACTTTCCTTCAGGTGTTTTCTAGAGCTCTGTCTGTTTTTTCACTATATCTTGCTACTGACTATTCTGAAGATGTTTTTCTGCCTTAAAACACAAATGCAAAAATGCTGAATATTGAGAATTTTGGGTTGAGGCTCACTGAAGTGATTACATCACAGCAGCCAAACAATCCAGGGGAAGGGTTTTCAGTCCAGCCCTTCTCCCAGCTCACCTTTCAATCCAATGGCTAGTGCTTCAGAAGAAATTCTGACTAAAAAACCTTTCCGTATTCCTGGAGATGTTAAAATTCACAAATATTCTAACTTGTAGTTGAGACATCATAGACTCAAGAGTCCAAACTGTAGACTTGTCAATGCATTCTGTGTTTTAAGAAGCTTTTTGCCAGTTTTGTACGTGTGTGTGCCCAGGCAGGCCGTGTGCCCCGGGGAGGGAGGGCGCACGGAGGCCGCAGCCCGGCCGAGGCAGCGGGAGGTGCTGGGGGGGCGTTGGGGGTGTCTGTGTCGCGGCGTGTTCAGTCCGGTGCCCGCTCTCCCGTCAGTGTCAGCAGAGCACTCTGACAAAAGCATGAGGATTAGAGAAAAAAACAACTGTGGTCATTTCTTAAGCATTCTTTTGTAACTAAACTTAATTTATAAACTTGTTCTTGAGGGTGTGTTTGGTATTTGGAGAGAACTGTACTAAGCTGTTTTCACTGCTGACTTGGTGACATTTCTCAGTAAAACGCTGTTGTTCCAGCATGGCAGAGGTCTGCATAATTCATGTCTGCTCAGCTTAATCACTGGTTTTCTTCTTGTGACAATTAATGGCATTGTACCAAAAGCAATACATCCTGCGTGTAGTTAGTGGTGGAAATAATTATTGCTGCGCAGCTTTTATTGTCATTGTCTTTCCAGCCCTTGCCACTGGCTGGATGGTGGGCACTGACAGCTGCTCCGGGCTGTTGGAGAGGTCTGGGGGGAAGCAGGTCTCATACAGTGCTTGTGTGCTCTCTGGAAGCTGCTGCTGTGCTTTGGAGCAGAAAAGGGTTGCACCTGATGCTGCATTAAGCTTATTTTCTCCTGAGTCCTGTCACGAGAACACAGCCAGGTCTAGTGTTTCTCTGGAATCGCTCCTCCACGTTTCTCCTCCAGAGACAGGCCCAGGCTCTGCCCCAGCACCGTTAGAGCCAGGGGTTATAGGAGCAGAAGGGCTTTTTCCTGCGTTTGGCTGTGGGATTCTGCTCAGCCCCTGCAGAAGGGCCTGTGGGACACTGCAGGGGGTTCTACTCACCCCCAGCCCTGATACGGGCGGATCACGCTGCAGGGAACTCCCTGTCCGTGTGTCCGGCCCCGGCAGCGACGCTGCGCCTCTGGCTCCGCTCACAAACACCCCGGGAAACCCCCTTCAAAGAGGGAAGATTTGTTTTTCCTTTCTGGGTGCTCAACAGGGCAAGACATTAAGAGGGTTTTCTGCCCAGCACTTGGTGTGACTCCCAGGGTGTCGTATTCACCAAAGTGTCACTGCACAGACGTTTTAATGCTGCAGAAATAACAGGGCTGAAGGACTTGCTCTTCTCAATGTGTATATTCCTCCTCACTTTCAGAGTCTGTAGGAAAATACCTACTTTCCATTATAACTGAATAGCTTTTCTGTGTTCTCAGTGCACATTTTTCACTGCTGCCTCCTACTCTGCTTAGATGTGACTTATTTTAATGCTGTTATAAAAACTGTAATACTACAGGTGTCATGTGGTAACTTGTAAATAAACTTACTGTAAACACATGGTCAAGTTACTTGTGGTGCTGCTCTGTGAACGTGTGACATTTCCTCAGCTGCAAAGACTCACTGCATTCTCCTGAAGGACCTGGATGTTGCACGTGGAGATCACAGACAGGAATCCTGCCTGTGACCAGCCTCCGCCGCAATCTGGCCCTAGAAACCAGTTCCAGGCAACTGCAGCATTGACAGCAATTATTTCTAGGCAATAACTTTGCAACATAATTTGCCAGATGATAGCAAATCAACACTTCTGTCAAACTGATTGTCAGCAGAGCAATAATACATTTTTATGTAAATATCTCTTAACAATTTGTATAGCAAGTAGAGAATGCAGGATTACGTAGGGCTGGAAGCTGCTGAGGGAAGTGTTGCTGTGGGAGCGTTTGTCCTTGGAGCCCCTCGGCTCCCACAAAGGACTCCGTGTCCTACCCAAGGGAGAGGGGGGTGGGACGAGGTGGCAGAGGTCTGACCTGTGTGGAGCACACAAAGGGCTAGGTTTAGTTAAAAACCAGCTACACAGCCCAGCTGAGCTCCCTGGGTGGTGGGCAGGCTGTCGGGGATGGAGGCTGCTCTGGGGCGAGTGGGCAGGAGCCTTTTCTTTGGGGATGAACATTTTAGTCCCAGGAATACTTCCAGAGGACGTTGACACGGCTGAATTCTCCGCAGGGCTAGAGAGATGAGCAGCCCGTGGTTCCCAGCTCCCCAAGGCTGCTCTCTGCCATCTCTGAGGACGCAGGTAAAACCCTGTATGCACCAAAGGGCACTTTGCAGTGTGGGCAGAGGGACAGGCTGTGCGACATACCCGGGTGCTGTGTGACGTACCCGTGTCCCCAGCAATGTACCTGGTCCCAGGGGTCACTGCTGTGGGTCCATCCATCCTCCGCAGCTCCCTCTTCCCTGGCCCACAGCTTCAGCCCGGGGCTTTTCCTGTCGGTGCAAAGGAAATTATGTTGATTGTTTGTGCTTTGCTGGTGACTGAGCAGATTCTCTGCCCTTTCCCACTCCTTATGTTCACCTGGAAGCAGAGGTCACCCCAACTTTAATTCCAGAACTAGTTCTACTCCTTATGTTCACCTGGAAGCAGAGGTCAGGCCAACTTTAATTTCAAAACTAGTTCTTTTTTTTTCTCCTCTCCAGAGAGGAAAAAGAACAGAGATAAAATTGGCCCCAGAAAAGATGTAATAATACTTTTTTTTTCAGCCTCCCACTAGAAACCTTGCCTCCATGAAAATCCAAAGAGAAGCTGTTAAAGAGCAGCGTTACCTGTAGCTCAGACCCGTGTGCCCCAAATCCCTCCCGCCGGCTCCGGGACGGTCTCCAGTCCGCCCTCTGCTGGTGGGAAGCTGCCACGGGTATCGTTATATAAACAAAACCTTGCTGAGTGACAGTTAAACATTGTGATTAAAGAGCAAAATTTATAATAATACCACCTAGCGTGTTCTCAAAAATCTCGTGTAGATCTTCCAGAATTCTAGCTCCCCTGCTTGTCCCAGGCTCAGCTACTGACAGCTGGGAGCAGGACTGTGCCTCTGAACCGGTTAGTGAACGGGTTATGTCTTTCTGGGGTAGGCTTTGGGGGTTGGTTTGTTGGGGTTTGGGGATTTTTTGGGGGTGGGCTTTTCTTTTTTTCTTTTAAAGCAGGCTGAGTCTCTCAGTGGGTGCAC